ACCAGTCATGGTGCAGTGAAGCAGTAGAGCTATAGTTTCTGTCCTATTTTGCACTTGCGATTGCATGAAGGGGGGGGGGGGGGGGGACAGTCAGTCGCATGACCCGAAACAACGAAATGTGTTCTTGATTCTCAGTGGCCTTACAGCATGTTGTTCAGTATTTTCACTGGTCGTGATCATGCCAAACAATGTTTTAGGTATAATATGTAAGAACAGTCATGTTAGCCCAGGTCAATGCATTCTGTATGTGCATTACTGTTGTGGTCTTTCCGCATGCTATGCTGTACAGGTGATAGCCTACATCGGAGATTTGGCAAGTGCTGGAAATTCTGTATTCAAGTACACAACTCCCCCACGAGGTACGGTGACATTCTGTGTTGAGATCATGAACTGAAATCTACAACGTTAATGATGACGACGACAGCGATGGTAACAAAATAATTATGCCGACGACAAAACAGCAAACACAACGATGTGGTCATTGAAAAAATAGAGCTTGTTACTGCTGTTGCTGGCGCCACTGTTTCAAAGTCTTCTTCTCGCAACATTCGCAACGCAGGAGCATTCTTGCTGTTTTCGTTGACTGCTGTTTGAATAAAACACTCGTGCTACAGTGTACCCGGCCCTAGCTTCTCAGCCACAGTGCCTCCTGTAGATGCTGTGAGTCAGGCTGATACTCTGTGTTACAGCACATGTATTTCTCTTTGCAGCAAGGCTGTGGCACAGTTTAAAAAATTTATTGGTGCTACAGATATTTCAGATTTACAGGGCATACAGAAAAAATGATATGTCCTTCCCCCCCCCCCCCCCCAAGAAATATTTTCATTCAGCAGTTTTAATCCCACACGAATTTGCCATAATCCTCGACATGATATTGCATGGTATGAAGTCCGAACCATACCGGTAGGAAAACTCAATAGGTATTCCGACTGCTGCTTCCGCTTGCAAGTGATACTCGGCACACATTGGCAAGATCTCGATTCCTCCAACGGGTGTTTTGTTGCTAGAATCATTCACAGTATCCATTCACTATCCACACTATCCATTCACTATCCACAGTATCCATTCACTATCCACACTATCCATTCACTATCCACACTATCCATTCACTATCCACACTATCCATTCACTATCCACACTATCCATTCACTATCCACACTATCCATTCACTATCCACAGTATCCATTCACTATCCACACTATCCATTCACTATCCATTCACTATCCATTCACTATCCACACTATCCATTCACTATCCACACTATCCATTCACTATCCACACTATCCATTCACTATCCACACTATCCATTCACTATCCACACTATCCATTCACTATCCACACTATCCATTCACTATCCACACTATCCATTCACTATCCACACTATCCATTCACTATCCACACTATCCATTCACTATCCACACTATCCATTCACTATCCACACTATCCATTCACTATCCATTCACTATCCATTCACTATCCACACTATCCATTCACTATCCACACTATCCATTCACTATCCACACTATCCATTCACTATCCACACTATCCATTCACTATCCATTCACTATCCATTCACTATCCACACTATCCATTCACTATCCACACTATCCATTCACTATCCACACTATCCATTCACTATCCATTCACTATCCATTCACTATCCAGCCTACATGTACGAGTATAGTTCCTCATAAACAGGTCCTAATTGTTACGTTGCCGAAGAACTAACTTAATGGCACATGCCTTGTGTACCGGTATGTTTGGTGCGAAACAGCTCCTCCAGCAGTTGCCCTGCCGTCAGATGCACCGCCCGTTTCTGTTCCGAGCGACCGCGTCCGTCCGCTATTTCCGGGCTTCTCACCCACAAGCGGGCTCCTTCTGAAGCTGCCAGCCGTGGACGAGACCAACGGGCCTATCAAGTATTATGAAGTTCAAGTTTCGCCAGCTTGCGATGGCAAGCACACCGATGGTTAGTACCTGGATCTTTCCTAACACTAGTACTGCATATGTACTTGTATGTATTCTAGTAACGTTGGTCAGTCTGACTCAGACTCCCAGATCAGCCAACGCCAGGCACCCAATTACCTTGCATTCCTGTGCCAAAGGTGCGTGTAACATCATGCCTCTGTGCCAGAGGTTGGTTGCATAGTTCATCGGCCAATACCGCAGTGCGTTTGTACTCACTAGAACTAGCCTGACTCACTAGAACTAGCCTGATCGTATACTAGTATTCGTATCCCCATGAGCCAACAGGACATTGCAAGTCTTGTTTGTGGCTTTTTGTGTTCATGTCAATGTCAATTGAGACGATGCCATGGTCTCGTACTGTAAGGCATTCAAGCAGTGAGAGGTGGACATGTGCAGTTCGGAATGTCCATGAAGTATCTGAAAGGTCCACTCACACTCTTCTAGAATGTTCAAAGAATCATGAACATGTGTTTGTAGCTCAGACACAAGGTCCCATGAAAGCAAATCCGTCTCTACTCTGTTTCTTGCTTCTCCCAATCACCAAGGTTCACTTATCCTGTGTGTTATCTCCTTATTTTTAGTTAGAGTTTTTACTGAACGCTCAACCACACACCAACATTCATGGGACCATGAAAGTCATGATGTGACATAGCCACTCTCTTAGCAATGCACTTGGACATATACATGTACGGTGCTGCTCACTGAAATCCGGTCCTGTTGGTCATGCATACACCGGGCGCTTTGCAGCCCCTACACCTGGGAACACTGGACTTTGAACTGGTTCAGGGCGCACACTTGATTCACGTGATCGGACTTCATTGAGCGGCACCGTAGGTCTGGTATAGAAGCAGTCCTCGTGTCCAGCTATTCGGGATTGTATACGTCTTTGTGGTTGGACGAAATTTGACCGAGCGGCGAAAAGGCTGGTGATTACTGGTTCTATTGCTAAGAGCTATGCTAAGAGCTATGCTAAGAGCTATGCTAAGAGCTATGCTAAGAGCTATGGTGTCAAGATCTATGGTGTCAAGATCTGCACTGAGCAGGGGATTCTCAGTTGTTTTGCCAGCGTTGTGAGTGTCATATCACACTTTTTACATTTATATCTTCATTGTATGCAATAACATTTTGATGGCCACATGCATAAAAAACCTTCAATTGAAATGTTTTATTGCATGCGGTGAAGAGGCAATTTTTTTGTTAGTGCTGATGGTTGAGAATTTGTCTGACTTTTACAATGGCTGCAGTGGAGCAGGCTCACCTTCAGAAAAAGCATTCAGTGTTGGTTAGTGTGTGTAAAGCACTTCCAACTTATTAGTTGACCGTATGCTGAAAGCACTAGTTTGGTGTTCTGTGTGTGATCTTGCAGCGGCACCTGTACCTTACACTGAGTTTCTACAGTGCACCACATGCCCGTGTCCTCCATACATTGCTCTCTACGGCACACGCAAGGAGGTTGCAGTGAAAGTGGACGGCCAGGTAAGTTAAATGCATTGTCAGAATGTGCTCGATGTGGACATCTGGTCCGTTACACTGAGTTTCGAAAGTCTGGACCACCAGGCTTTCCCTAAGGGCCGGGTTCCACTGCGGCTCCGCTGCTCGTCATCCGCGGCTTGAAGCGTCATCATTACCATAGTGACCGCGGCTCGAGCTGGAGTAGCGAGGCCGCGGCTCACCGCGAGCTTTCGCTACGATTCTTGATCAAAAACTGCGAGCCACGGTCGCGGCTCGACCTGTTTCCCGTACTTCGCATGGTTTTGTACGCGGGAATTTTAAAATTCAAATTTTAATTCGTTGCGCAGGCCAGAACGCAAGGATTTTTTGATGGCGCGCGCGCGCGCACGCGGCAGACAGACAGGGAAAACGTCATCAAAAACGTGGACCACGACCGCGGTACCGCGAATGGCGAGTGTCAGTGTGAAATAGAAATAGTATTGCCTTCTCCCCCTGGCCCCTGTCACACAACAGTGCAAACAACTTGGTAGAGTTTCTTACTTCTAATCTTAAACAAAACGGAAAGGGCACAGGAGGAGAAAGACGAAAAGACTAGACAGAAAACGACGACGGGAAAAGACATCCGGGAAAAGACTCCAAGAAACAACCAAGAACAAGCAGTAATATTGCGACGACAAATCGGGACGACCAATCAGGGACTAATACGTACAGAACACATGACCAAGACCAAGACAACCAGACCACGGACGAATCACACATGACTCTCATTCCCAGACCAAACTAGCACTGCGCATGTACAGCATTCACTTGACAGGCACTCTCACACAGACGGAAGCAGATCCTCACACTCTGACAACGCGTACTCTTGCATGCACCACATACCATAAACGTCACACATCACACCATACTCGCACGTACACTTAGACCATATATGACATCAGACACTGGACTCTACAAGACAAGAACCAAATACAACAACATGCGTAAATCATAGTCGTAATACAATTTCGCAACAAGTAGAACCGCGCTGCTCCGCTGCATGCAGCCAAGTGCCGCGGAGCAGCGGAGCCGCAGTGGAACCCAGCCCTTACGATTAGCGCTATTGAGCAGTGCTCCAGCTCACCATCATGTCGTGGAATGGCTCTGTACTTCCTGTCAGATGTGTACTAAACTTTGCATGTCTGACTGTTCAAGAGCTGGTATAATTTGTTGACTCAGACGCAGAACTTGTGCCCCAGTGTTTTCCTTTTTTATTATGTGGACGGGATATGCGAGGTCTGACTGGAAGACCGTTGGGAATAATGACAGTTGATCAATAATCAGTAATACTAAGTTATAAATAATTCCGCAGTTTGGTCAAGTGTGCCCGGATTGGCATCTATCAGATTTCAGACAGTTTTTGCCTGCTTGCCTGAGTGTTGTTATATCCATGCTTCACAGTGCCTCGTTTTATGCCTGAATGCTTCGTGAAAGGAAATAGTTTGTCCTTGAAGAAAGGAGAAAGAAAGTCAAATGTCCAGTAAAGTGTGTTTGCTTTATTTCTTGCAGTACATTATCGCCATTGGTAGTCCGATGCCTCCTTCCTCCTGCAATAATATCTGTGATCCATATTTGGAGCCTGGAAAGGCATACAGGTAATGTGTGTTTGAAGTGCTGGTCTGCCTTATGAATTCATCTTTCAGTTCTCTCTCTCTCTCTTCTCTCTCTCTCTCTCTCTCTCTCTCTCTCTCTCTCTCTCTCTCTCTCTCTCTCTCTCTCTCTCTCTCTCTCTCTCTCTCTCTCTCTCTCTCTCTCTCTCTCTCTCTCTCTCTCTCTCTCTCTCTCTCTCTCTCTCTCTATCTATCTCTCTCCCTCTCCCTCCCTCCTTCCCTCCTTCCCTCCCTCCTTCCCTCCCTCCTTCCCTCTCTCTCTGTCTCTCTCTGTCTCTCTGTCTCTCTCTGTCTCTCTGTCTCTCTCTGTCTCTCTCTCTCTCTGTCTCTCTCTGTCTCTCTCTCTCTCTCTCTCTCTCTCTCTCTCTCTCTCTCTCTCTCTCTCTCTCTCTCTCTCTCTCTCTCTCTCTCTCTCTCTCTCCCCCCCCCCCCCCTCTCTCCCCCTCTCCCCCCCTCTCCCTCCCCTCCCTCTCTCTCTCTCTCTCTCTCTCTCTCTCTCTCTCTCTCTCTCTCTCTCTCTCTCTCTCTCTCTCTCTCTCTCTCTCTCTCTCTCTCTCTCTCTCTCTCTCTCTCTCTCTCTCTCTCTCTCTCTCTCTCTCTCTCTCTCTCTCTCTCTCTCTCTCTCTCCTGCCAATGTGCATGCGTGTGTGTGTGTTTGTGTGTGTGAGAGAGAGTGAGAGAGTGAGAGATGCCCGAGTGTTCATGCGTGGGCATGTATGTTTGTGCATGTCTGTTTGTGTGTTTTTTGTCACTGTGTGTGTGCGTTTATGCGCGTGTGTGCATGTGTACATGTGCATGCATAGTTTTTGTGTGTATGTGCATGTCTGTGCTTGTGCCTTCATTTTCTATAGCCGTTTCCACACTTCTTGCGGCTTGCACTGCTATTCCTCAACAATTCAAAGAATATTCAATCGAACAGTAAATGGTTTACTGTTAGACACGATGCTGGTCTAAGTCATGTCTGAGTAATAGTCTTAAAAACCAATATCGAACAGAGCAATAAACAAATCATTGTGAATTGTTGAGTGGTAAGCAGCACAAATTGAGCCGTGGCAGCTAGCGAAAGCCGCAATTGGTGCATTCCTTTTGAAAGGGAAACACTCCTTGGCACCAGTCAGTGCCATCAGAGGAGAGCATCTTCAAAGGAAACATTGTCCCATTACGTGGATGGCATTGGGCTAACACCTTTTGGAGCACACTATCTGCATGCAGTGGCTTTGTTGACATGCATGTCTCCATGTGTAGCGTGATGTGCGAAATGTAACTGTAGATACGTTTGGCTACGAATCCCTCCTGAGCAGTGTAATCATTTCTGATTGTTTGATTCATTATCATCCGTAGGGTTGTTGTGGCTGCCCTAACTTTCGGACCAGCTCGAGAGGTACTAGAACAGGACTTCTCTAGCTTGGCTAAGGGCCGTGGCACAACTGTCGCTGCAGCGACCTACTCAACAAACCCCAATGGTGAGTGTCCATAATTTAAGGTAGCTCAAACCACTTTGGAGGTGAAAAAACTTTTACAGAAGAAGTGCTGTTTTCTCTGTCCTAAGTTGTTCTCTAGCATGCATGGACTGCGGAAATGATATTCGTATGGGGAGTACTTATGCATTTTGTTGTACTTGTATTATGGGGCCTCAAAGGTCCAAAAATTGCGTTTTTCATACTTTCAAGTGGCCATAAGTACAACAAAATGCATAAGTACTCCCCATACGAATATCATTTCCGCAGTCCATGCATGCTAGAGAACAACTGGGGACAGAAATTTTTAATGTTGAAAGGATCTCACCGGGTACTCGTTAGATCGCTCGCCAGAAACTCGGCTCATTTGTGCGGCGAGCTCGTTTGCACTAACGAGCACCGTATATGATACAGCATGCACATAACAGCACAGTCAGTGCATATAGTGAATCTCCGTTCGAGCGTAAGTCATGCTTAGTCGTTTTGGAAGTATTTTCTGCAATGCAGCGAAGAACAGGGCTACTTGCAAAAACTATCTGTTCTTACAATGGTGGCTCAACGAAGGTGCAGAAAGGACATCTCGACACTAAATACCTGTCCGAAGTGAAGCCAGTTGAAAGCAGCAGCAACCCCAGCGCTGGCGGTGAAATTCAAAGCAGCTGAATTTAAAAAAAAAGTCTTTGCTTTATCAGTGAAACTCGTTCACTTGCTCGATAGCTCGCTCGTTGGTGGACCTGTTCGCTCGTTTGTTATAGATACGCTCGTTTCAACACTAAAAAATTTAGCTGCTCGCATGCAGTCGTATCTTCTACAGAAGCAAGTCGAAACTTGAATCTTTTAAACATTCCGTAGTTTTTGACAAGACCTAGCCATGTAAGAGAGGTATAAGAGCTATAAGTAAAAAGACCTGTGCCATCATCACACACGCACGCACATACACACACGTGCGCGCGCGCACACACACGCACGAACACACACACCCACACACCCACACACATACATACACACACGCACGCACACACACACACACACATACACACACACACACATGCATGCTCGCGTGCACACCACATACACCCACCCACACATCAAATCAAAGTCTGTTTAAATTCGCCTAGAAAATTCCGAAACAAGAAAAAAAGAATGGCTAAGCTAAACAGACTTTGATCTTGTGCATCTACGTGTGTATTGGGTATCGTTATAATTTCTTTCTTTATACTTCCTCCGTTAAGCAAAACTTCGTTGCGTTTTTACAGTTCAGTCCAAATCATTCTATGGCTACGAACATGCTTTGCAAAGTGGAAAACAAGGCAGCATATGAAAGATATTTATTTACAGATGTCACACAGCTCGTTTCGAAGCAGTCCAGCTTCACTCTTCGTCTGAATCTGATGACGACTCACTCCCTGATGACATCGAGTCTGCATCCTCGCTGACTGTCGCCGCCAGCGCTGCCAGCTTTTGTTCCGCAGCCTTTACAAGTTTCCAAGACATGATTATTTTGATCATGGAGATCGCCAAGTTCTTCGCTCGAACTGTGACCGTGACGACCTCCACGGTGGCGCTGATAGTTGTGGCCACTCTCCGGACCGCCATGGAAGGAGCCATACAGACCCAAACAAACGCTCGCCATTTTCGCAGCGGTGTGTTGTGCCAGCACGTTTCCACACCCTGCAGAAGCTCCTTTCTGGTTTCCTTCGCCACGAGTGACACGTATGTCTACAGGCTGTGGAAGAACGCCAAGTCGACGACGTTGAGATCAGGATTTTGCGCTGACTGAACGACAACCTGAATTTCGAACGCTTTTGATTTCCCCTGCGCTGCAAACACAAGTGCATTGAGTTTGGCTGTGTGCGGATGCGCACCATCGACTCGTGCTAGTACAGCAGTGCCTGAGTGCTGGCCGGCTCCTGGACACTTCTTCGAGCCAAGCGGTCTTTCAAACTGTTTCTCATTTTCGCACTTTGTCATGTGCGCGCGCCTGGGGTTGTGTTCTGGTGACATCCTGTCGAGAAACAGTTCTGCTTCGCCGATTTTTTCAAAGCACTCCACGCTTTTCGGAGGTTCAAAAGCCTGTCAGAACAATGGACGACAACTCAGCTACTCTATGTCGGAGATAGATCACTGACATGTATGTCTAATGCCGAAAGAGATACCATGACAAGAACACTAAAAACGCGACGAAGTTTTGCTTAACGGAGGAAGTAGCTCTCTGTGTTAACTTATGTATTGTGCTGTTTTATCTGCCCTTGATGCAGTGAAATCAGGTGCCGGCAGTGGAGCTATTATCGGAAGTGTTGTGGCAATCCTACTTGTCGCTGTTGCAGTGGCTATGTTTGTCTGGTACCGGCACACGCAACCTGGCAGGTATCTACATGTACTGCATGTCTAGCTAGGCACTTGCAGCTCTGCGCCTGCTGTTTGCTTGTTTGAGCGAGCATGATTGCTGAACACAGTGCTGTTAACAGAGTTAGGTCAAGGAGAGGGGAGGGGAGAGAGAGAGGGTGAGAGAGAGAGACAGAGAGAGACAGAGAGAGTGAGTGAGTGAGAGAGTGGGAGAATGAGAGAGAGAGAGAGAGAGGGGAACTTGTGGGATCGCTGGTTACCACTGGCACAATCATACCCTCAGGCCATAGTGTATGAATGGGCGTTTGTCATCGTGAAAGCACCCTGCCTGCTTATGTATGTTCTAATATGGACATAAACACTACTATAACCAGTGAATTTTGATTTGAAAAACTGTGATGATGCCAACCCGCGATAAATCGATCCCTGCAAGCGGATGCGAGCTCTGCTACGTGAGTCAGTGTGACCCGAGTACACTACGGTTGTGTTTGGTTGGGCATTTTCAGAATATAAATGACAACCATTCTGGAATGGGAATTGGCAAGAATCACCTGACCAAACAAACGCACCAGAAGCAACTAGGAATCACTTGACATAACAATTCCATGATGTGGTTGTGGAACGGCGGCTCTCTTCTCTTTTACCCGACTAGTTTTCTTGAGAGAGTCAAGGTACTTCTGAGTGCATGATTTGAGGCACTTGAACCTGATGCTACATTGTTTGGCTCGTGGCAACCATTATCATTTTTGATTCCGGAATGAGAATACTCATTCCAGCATGTGAGGTGGAATGATCATTCTCCAAAAAGAATCATTCTCAGCGATTCCCATTCTGGAATGGGACAACCTAACGCACTTTTTTGACCAACCAAATGGGCGAGAATGATTCCGAGTGATTCCAAGTGATTCCCATTTGGGAATGTGACCAACCAAACGTAACCTAAGGTTCTCACGCCGTACAAACTTAGTGGCACTCTACTGTACGATTTTCCTTTCCCTGGCTGTATAGTCAAGGTGGGGCACTCTACTGTACGATTTTCCTTTCCCTGGCTGTATAGTCAAGGTGGGCCGGGGCGCTCTCGTGAGACCGGGCACTCTCCTGGTACTTTTAAAATTAAAGGTAGTCGTGATTGAACTGTGATTGAACTGTGATTGAACTGTGATTGAACTGTGATTGAACTGTGATTGAACTGTGATTGAACTGTGATTGAACTGTGATTGAACTGTGATTGAACTGTGATTGAACTGTGATTGAACTGTGATTGAACTGCGATTGAACTGTGAATGAACTGTGATTGAACTGTGATTGAACTGTGATTGAACTGTGATTGAACTGTGATTGAACTGTGATTGAACTGTGATTGAACTGTGAATGAACTGTGATTGAACTGTGATTGAACTGTGATTGAACTGTGATTGAACTGTGATTGAACTGTGATTGAACTGTGATTGAACTGTGATTGAACTGTGATTGAACTGTGATTGAACTGTGATTGAACTGTGATTGAACTGTGATTGAACTGTGAATGAACTGTGATTGAACTGTGAATGAACACTATTTGTTTGCTTTTTTCTGATTCGTTTGTTGCTGTGTTGCTGGCCATTTGTGCCGTCTATATTGTCTTTTGACTGTCAGCAGATCGCCAACCATAAAGACACGCAATGTCAACATCTCGGGCAAGATTGAAACTTTGCGGCATAAGATTGGCAGGTCTACAGTGGCTAGCCGCTCCAATGGCGGCAACTGGGAGATGCAAACCAATGCAAACGCCCCATCAAGTTTCTTTGGCAGCGTGACTAGCATCACTGGAGAGCATAAGGGCTTAACGGCTGAAAGCAAGATGACCCTGGTGCCAAACATGCAGTTGGGAAGTGCGATGAGCACTAAGGATGCCATGTCAGTTTGTTCCATGACCTCTGGTCTAGTAACTGGAGTGCTGCCTGTGGAGGATTCGACTCTGTCAAAGCCCATTGATGTCAAGGACATGAGGATCGAGACTAAAACACGCTCTGCTAATGATGATTTGTTATTTGCTGAAGAATTTGAAGTGATCAAGACCATCGGAGCCAATCAGCCGGCTAATGCATCACGACTGGAGGTGAATAAGCCAAAGAACCGCTATACGAACATCTTGGCGTATGACCATTCAAGAGTGGCGCTGGCACCCAGGTCAACTGACAGTGATTACGTCAATGCTAACTTTGTCCATGTAAGTCAGATGGTGTCATTAGGGAGGTTTCGCTCTACGTAATTACGTATGAAAATCCGTATGTCGTACGCGCCGGGGAGCGAGGGCAACTTTCATACGTAAATCTCTCTACGGATTTCTGTTGGAAAGCTCTTTCCTACGTTGGGTCCTCCGTAGGACTTTTTGAAATATTTTTTCGCATTTTCCGCATTTTGTCCATGGCAACATTCAAGCCGCGCGAAACACAAGGTACACACACCGTACACCACGTGCAAAATATCATGGAAAACGCGGTTTCGGTTCATGGTGCATGGGGTGGGCGCATGCAGGCAACGCGTCTCCAAAGCAACAACGCATGTTGAGCGGTGGTGGAGAAATCACGTAGAGCGAAACCCAACAGCTCTGATTTTTACGTATGAAAGTTCGTGCAGTTCATACGTTATTTTCATACGTAATTCCGTAGAGCGAAACCTCCCTATTGTAATCGTTACCGGCATTATGGGCGTTACGTGACTGAAATCACCTCTATGCTGTGCATGCAGTGGAAACCATTGCTTTTGTATCCAGTGGCAAACAGTGCTTCAGTCCGTTTCAAAAAGATTTGCAATCCTGGCGATCGCCTGCGGATTTTGGCGTCTTACCGTATGAGCACTCGATCGCTGCCTGGAAAAACTCACTGTGAACTCGAAGAAATATTCCGCGCGAAAGGAGGAAAAATGACTACAACTCACTCACGTTGATACAGTCATGTACGTCTGGTTTACAACAAACGAGTTCTTCCTCGTATCGATAATGGAGTCAAAGAGGACATGTCGAAACGAAAGTGTTGTAAATGTTGACCAGCGGCATGGGTCCCAATTCGTTTTGTGACCAAAATAGTTTCTTTGAGCTGCGATGCAATTTACTCACCGTGTGATGAAAACGACATCGACACGGACAGTCCGACTCATTCCCAAGGCCATGACTTGGCAAAGCTATCCGTGTGACTTCGACGACATTTTGAGAAAAGCAGACGCTTGTGAATGCTGATAGAAGACGGCGTTGACTGCTAAATTCAAATAAATTGGCGATCTTGAAATACTAAAATAAATCTCAAAAAGCTTCAGCGCGATGACTTCCATATAATTCACTCTCACCATTGCGTTGTTATGGGGGGGGGGGGGGGTGTTCACATGGCGTAAGCCAGTCCAGTGGTGCTCAAAATTTTAGATTTGAAGACAAAAGACCAGGGTTAGGTGAAGAGAATTTAATTTGGGGTACAGAGAAACAGTCCCCTATTAGATGGTGTAGCGGTATGTCAGTGTTTGTGCAGCTATTGAAATTTTGAGTATGAACGAGACGCACCGAAAGTACCGAAAATAAAAGTAGGCCGTAAATCCGTGAAATTACAGTAACCTCTATACACAGGTTTGTTATCACATTGTAAACTGCAGCTACTTAGTCTTTAGGTGCTTGAACTCATGAATGATGTAGCGCCGCGGTATCAATGAACTATGACCACGAATTGTTGTCGTTCAGTTATGCTGAGTTGAACAATATTGAATAGGCTTGACTCAAGTCACGGTGTGCACATGCAATGTCACCTGATTATGGCTTTGAATGTGGCGAATTGTCCTTTGGAATTCCGCTTTCACTGTGCATGCACGCCTGCAAGTGGTTAGTAGTGCTGCATCTTTCTCATTTACCTTCTCTCTCCTGTTTTCCTTGCAGGGCCACCAGAAACGGAATGCGTACATAGCTTGCCAGGGCCCACTGCCCAACACCGCCGTGGACTTTTGGCAGCTGATCTGGGAGAACAAATGCCCTGTTATCGTCATGGTGACTCAGCTCGTGGAACGTGCCCGGGTAGGTTGTTAACTCCCCTGCCTCGATTGATGTCGTTTTGAAAACCCCAATCGGCCAATGTTGAATGACGGCCAAAAGTCTCATTTCGAGATCGGCCAAAGTTTCTCACCGGCCAAACATGTGTTGATTTACAGTAGTCCATCTTGAACATAGCCTCTCTTTCTCTCGTCGCCTTCTGAACTGCCATGGGATGTGTTGTTAGATTAAGATGTGTAGGTTTCTAAGACCAGTCAGTCCACTTTGCTGTTGTGATTGTAGGCAAAGTGTCACATGTACTGGCCTACTAGCTTGCAGGCACCTATTGAGATGGGAGACCTGACTGTGACAATGCTGGAAGAAGACACAAGCTGTGCAGACTGGCACGTTCGCAAGCTGGTTATCTCTGATGTAAGTGTCGACTATGGCTGCGTGTTGATGCTAGCTTTACCTCTATGACTGCGTGTTAATGCTAGCTTGACCTCTATGACTGCGTGTTGATGCTAGCCTGACCTCTATGACTGCGTGTTGATGCTAGCTTGATTTTTATGGCTGATCTTGCTTCTTCCACGTAAAAGTGCTTGTACGCTCTTTGCCAGGAGAAATAAAAAATAAAAAATGCAAATCACTGCCAAGCTTCCCTGATGTGTGTGTGTGTGTGTGTGTTTTATGCCGTTCATTTTGCTACGATTAGGGTACAAGAAAGCACGTTGTCAAGCACTTTGCATTCCAGGCATGGCCGGATCATGGCGTACCGTCAACGTCGGATGTGCTGGTTCGCTTTATCTTCACTGTCCGTCAGAATACGCCAAGCGACACATCTGCACCACTATGCGTGCACTGCAGGTAAGCATAGCATACACTGCTCCCTGGAAGAAGACCCCATGATGTGACTGTGATTGTGTGCAGTGTGTTTAGCCTTACCCAGCCTTTCGGTCCGAAATAACAGCACTATGAGTCGTTTCAACCCGCCATGAACACAGATTGACTGGTTCGTTTATAGGGGATTCACACACACGGGTAAAACCACGGTTATGAGAAAGTTGTTATGGAAACTATGGTACAGGGGGAAAGGAAGAACCTCTCGGGAAAAATTGGCAAAGCCGTGGCCGTGGGCCTCAGGGCATTTGTCAAGGGAAAAATCCCATGGCTAAGACGCGCATGCGTAGATCTTGTCTTTGGCGAGAACTCTGGACCCTAGTTGTACGAGTGCATTGCAACTTGCATTTTCAGACAGTTCCCATCGGAAAATCGTGCATGGCGAATGCAAAATATAGTACAGATCGATGCAGAATGTACTACAAAAATGCAGTACAGATTATTTTTTTAATTGCCCGCCACAAGTTCATGGCCAAACATGCGGCCAAGGGAAAACTGACCACTCCGTTGACCGAAGGTCTGAACTTTTACCTTGTCCCGTGACCTCAGGTTTCCCCGTGAGTGTGAATCCCCTATTGTATGACATATTGCCCTTGACCCGGGTTAAAGTTTCGCCCCGGGTTGATTTCAATCCTCCCCTTGAGGGGAGAGTTGAAATAGAAAAATCGTACTACAGGTCTACTCTCCATATAACGTAATCTCTGGGACCACGCAAACATTATGTTTTATCGAGAGTTATGTTATGTAGAAAACCGTGTGTAAAATACAAGATGCACCTCAAAATGAAGGGTATTACAAGGCGGGTTCAACCGTGCAAACATATACACACGTACCACCATCGACATCAGATACCATCAATGCCGCAGAATATAATGCACATAGGACTAAACTGGCTACCTACGGCTACAGCTTGATTGTGCCGCGCACGTGAATCTACGTTGTATCGAGAGTGTACACGTCGGGGACTGCGCCGTTGGGTGCGTTATGCCGAGGTTTACGTTATGTAGGACTAAACTGGCCTAAACTGCCTAGCGACAGCTACCGCTTGATCATACCGTGCACGTGAATTTATGTTGTATCGAGAGTGCGCACGTCGGGGACCGCCGCAGCGTGTGTTATGTCGAGGTTTATGTTATGTAGGATTATGTTGTGTAGAACAAAATTTGTATGGGAGTGATGCTGTTTCGGCGCGGGATTTGTCTTTTTTATGTACTAACGAGGTTTATGTACAAGTGAGAGTTGTTATATCGAGAGCAGACCTGTACCATACTTCTGTGCACATCTCGTGCCAGGTTCGAACAGCACTGCACAGGCAATTTCGCGCGAAAGCATTCACGTGACCCTACAGGACTCTAGAAGTGGACTTTTTGTGGAATATCAGTAATTGACCCGGGTCTACTGTTTTCATGTAAACACCCACCTATTTTTTTTTCATCGTACAGACTTTCAACCCGGGTTGAAAATTCTCGTGTAAACACAGCCTTGCATGCATGTGGTACAGCACCTGTACTGATTGTACTAGCAGACGTGTGTATCTATGACTTCAAAATACATGAATACATGACTTTCTGCTTTGTTCATGTGTTTGTAGCGCGGGCGTTGGTCGCACTGGTACCTACATCTGCATGGACACCGCTCTCTACCAATTGGTTCAAAACCGGATTGACATATTCGGCATTGTTTGTGCCATGCGCACGCAGCGAAACTTGATGGTGCAGACGGAGGTAAGTGCATTGCTAAGTTCTACGAGTAATATCAATCTCACTGTTAACTGTTAGTACATTAGGATAGGTATTGCTTGCTGGATTCAAGTCCTCAACGGAATGCGGGTCGTATCCAGGAGCCAACGTAACTAGCTGCATTCACGGAAATCAAGGCAACTGGGGCTGGATGGGCGGCATGCGTAGCTGGTATGTTCTATGCATATGTGGGCTGGATGGGCGGCATGCGTAGCTGGCATGTTCTATGCATATGTGGGCTGGATGGGCGGCATGCGTAGCTGGCATGTTGTATGCATATGTGGGCTGGATAATCACCAATATAGCTGCTCCCTCCCCTGGTCCTGCGCATGCACATGATCGGTCAACCAGTCAACCAGTCGCAGTCAATCAGATTCTCCCCTCAGCAGCTGTGACTACTCGCCTGAGGTAGTAGCCTCTGATTGGCTGAGATTGGTTGACCATTGATGTTCAAAGCCAGGGCAGGAGAGGCTATAAAAGTAATCATTTCAGGAGGGGAGGTGGTTGGGGTTTGGGATAGACAAATTCCTCAGAGTTCAGCATGTGTTTTCTTCTTGGCCTGCTGATGTCTGAACTCTTGTTGTTTCTGCATGAGGGAGGAAAAAACAAGCCTGGAGAAGAAATCATAAAATTCTGGCCATCCCAAACCCCGACCACCATCCCCTCCTGGAATGATTACTTTTATAGCCTATGCTGGCTCTGAACTTCACACCTGAAATGATTGGTCAATCAGAGTTCAGCAAGCCTGCTGATGGCTGAACTCTTGTTGTTTCTGCATGAGGGAGGACAAACAAGCCTGGAGAAGAAAATCTAAAATTGGGGTTTGGGATGGACAATTTTTTTAGGTGGCCGGGGTTTGTTGCATCCTGAGGAAGGTGACTAGATACAATCTTAAGTCACTGTTCGAAATATTATACTGTGCTACTGTTGTTCCTGCTCTTTCACCAGGCTCAGTATGTGTTCCTGTACAAGGCTATGGATGCAATGGCTACTAAATTTCTAACAGTACAAGACAATACACCAGGTACGTTTAATATTAATGTCTAGAATGGACTCTGAAATCGTTCACTGTACTTGCAGGAATCGCCGTGTCATTCGTTTGCTATTCATCTCCCAGCCTGTTGATAACTTTGCATATTTCTCTATGGAGTTAACATCGATAACTCGCCATTACATCATCCCGCCAGTTGACTATTCGCTGAATTCCAATCCTGCTGGAGGGAATATGTACTGAATTCCAATCCTGCCGAAGGGAAGACTTGTAGGAAAATAGAAGTCATTAGACTAGAGCTAGAGTCAGATACACTTTAAATCATTCTGGCTCAGCCCCTCATCCTCTATCCTATGATTCCCATCCTAAATCTTTCTACAGTGCAGCAAATTGTCATGTTGAATCTGTTGAATCTCGTTTGTCTTACATGTAGGTGCAACAGGTGCGGAATCTCTGAACCACCTTGCCATGCTTGCACTGGAGAACCAGCCGCCGTCATCGTATATTTAGTTTGTCATGTGCTACAACTACTATACTATGACCGCTACTGATACTCATCCATAGCATAGCGCAATGGTGCCGCCGCATGTTTCTTATGTATGTGCTTTTTTTACAACGCCGTTTCTTGATGCCAGCGTGCAATCATCGCATCGATTCCCCAGGGAACAGCTGGCTTGAACTATGCGCTGGCTGCAATGAAAATGGCATCTTCTGAGAGGTGACGAATATTACATCCATCCCCGTTGCGCCCGTTCTAGCTTGGTTTTGTTCAATCTACATAAACTGTATAATATGTATGGACCTTTTTTTTCTTTCATTTTTACATGAAGCTCTGGATAGCTTCGTGTGAAGCTCTGGCTAGCTTCACATGCCATCATAGTACTCGAACCAACAGCATGCCATCCGTTCTTGAGGATGTTTCCAAATGACTAGGTGAGCAGCTGATTGGTCTTATTCTTCTATTTTCCATAGCTGACATTTTACGCAATCAGTTTGACATTCTGCTGGCTATCATGCATGTATTTCAACCCATTTTTCTTTATGAATCAGTTGAGGTTTTCTTGTAGTCATTGTCCCAAGCATTTTGGCCCCATTTAAACGATCTGTTAGTGCTGTTCACAATAGCAAGCGCCCGAGTTAATCAGTTGAAGAATTTCCCAAACATTCTCATGTTGTCTTTTAAGAGGTGGTTCGCTACATTTTCAGCGACCGCCATAACCGCTTTGTGGTCACTTTCACCAACATTTTATATTCGTAATAATTCGCTTATTGTTGGTAGACTAGCAGAGAATAATTATGCTGATTATGAATCTGCAATAAAGTTTGGCGATTCCCGTATCCGTTACTTGTGGTATTAAGATTGGAATTTCGGGCAAAATAATGACCTTGGGACCGCTGGAACAGTCAGAAGATCGGCAGCCCCTATGTCATTGTACATCTACACACTTACACATTTTGTACACATCCATAGAAATTGACAAAAGTCACATTCAAGTTAGTAATAGTAGTATGCATCCTATGCAAGCCAAAATAACTTACTTCCTCCGCGTCATTAAAATTGTCGCTTCCCAGAGCGATTTTTCGAAATTATTTTGTCCACTCGAAGGGCAAAGAAATCAGCTAGAAATTGAGGCAGAGCATTGTCGACGGACCAAGCTTTAGTTTGTGGCCCCCCGCTTCGCTGCACTTGCAGCTAAGGTCAACGTCTTCACCAGAGTTTGAGGCAGACCCTTCAGCACTCAACAATGCTCTGAAAAAGACGCGCGTTCAAATTCAGGTCAAGAAACTTCGTTTTCAAGCGATCCATGCCTCCAGGTGGCAAGCGATGAAGGCAAGGTAGCATTTTTCAAGTACACTGTAACGACCTTCCAGCGGGATAGGGTAAGCAGTTCTGCACCTTCTTTCCTTGGCAAGCGCTTCGCTGATTTTGTTGGAGTTTTCAGACCTGCTACCTTCGCAGCAACATGCACCACAAGTAGCGCATTTTAGGAATTTGAGACCACTTTGTTCTTGCCATCGTCAACTTCAGCAGTTCGTATTCAGGAGAGATACCAGGATTCTTATACCCAAGCTTGCAGTCTTGACAAATGCCCACGCGAACGATGTGGGACGGCACGAAATCCAGAAAACGAAATGCGCTCTGGGGCGGAATAGTGCGGAGCGCGATGAATTTGCTTGGTGCGGAAGAGAGCTCCGACAAAGTCCGAGACCACCACGGCTTCAGTGACAAGTAGACATTGCGCAGGAAGGGTCACACCAGTGTTCGAACACAGAAAACAGTGATTCCGACAGTCTGACTAACACGAGCCAAGTCACAAATATTGCGATGTGCGAAGCGACAATTTTAATGACGCGGAGGAAGTACTACACAGTACACATTTTGGAATGTGGATTGCAAAGAGCTAGCCTGGAGCCTGTTCTATTCCTTAGTCTGATGGCTGGCCATGGCGTCAAGTCCTGTGCAGAACAAGACATTTCCCGTCGTTTCATCGTTTTCTTCTCCATTGTGCATCTACAGTTGCGCTCGATGAAATCCGACCCGGAGTGCATATCTGGCGCCCTCAACTTGCACGGCCCTTGACGCCCTGGAAGTGGCACGAATGCGGCTGGACGTACACATGTACAAATACAGTGATGTAATCAGAAACTGGTCCAGGGCGCCAGCTTTGCACTTTGGGTCGGATTTCAGTGAGCGCAACTGTAGAAGATCCACAGCTTTGGCTATCCACTCTCTGTCACTCATGTAGGTAGACGACGACACTCTACTATTCACAAAACATCCCCAGCCACGCACAGTGGTAGTAGAAACAAAGGTTGATATGTACCGAGGGATTTCATCCCGCCATGGGCCGCAACAAGTGGTTGCGGAAGTCGACTTTCCCCACATGCTTCCTATAATTATAGGGGCGCGACACTTGCAGCCAACGTTATTTCCACTCTCATGGTTTGTACACATTGAAAATACACTGCGCCCAGTGTTGTTCAAACAAGTGGCAGTGATTTTCAGTGTAATAGAGAAGGAAGTTGCGCACAACGAAAAAACATCGGGTTTGGACGTCACAGCCTCGGGTAACGACAGTTCATATGAATGTTCCGCCACTTTCGACCAAAACAGAGCTCAGCAACGGAAACTAAAAAATATTTACTAGCCATCATCGCACTGCAACACACAGACCTCAAACATGCGCGTCTCCGACAAAAAATGATTCCCACCCTCTTTTTGAAACCTACGAAATTTCGTCACGTACAACTTCCCCCGTAATGGGCCACACTTGCACACCCAACACCGGAACGCCACCCACGGCTCTTAGACACATCCCGATCTCCCACCACGGCCCCTGGCTATCGTGCCCAAACACACCCTGGCCTCGATAAAGTGCCTCCGATAATCTAGTTTCCAAACTGTCAAGGTAAACCTATCAGTCATCAGCGGACTTTGTTGGTCAAAATCAGCATCAGGTCTGTTGTTCGCAAAGCACAACATGCATGCAGAAAATCAAATTCGAAAAA